TATTAAAAAAAATAAGAGGTTTTAACGATCGAATTATTAGTTAATATAATTTAAGAAGATATTCTATAGTTACTAAATGATAAGAATTATTCTCTATTAAAATAGTAATAATATTATCCTTTTTAGTAGTAATTAATTCAGCCGCAGTAGTCTTATTAATCGAAAGATATTATTCCTCTCTTCTCGCAATCAGCTTATTATCAGTCTTATCGACTAAAGAATATTATTCCTTTCCCTCGTAACAGCCTTATCAGCAGCCTTATCGATTAGAGAATACTATTCCTCTCCCCTCATAACCGCCTTATCGACCGAAGAATCCTACTTCAACTCTCCCCTTAATACCAGTCTACGACTTAAATTATCGAGCCCTACACCTACTACCCTCGCCTTATCAAGTTATTTAAGATTTCGATATTAGATAAAACTATAGCTATAGTAAAAAACTTACTATTCTAATTAAATTATATATTATTAAAAAGAAATATAATAAAAGTTTTATTAAGAGTCTTAATTATAAATTAATAATTTTTATAAATTTTTATATAAGAGTTAAGATTCTTTAGTAGATCTTTTAAATAGTATTTTTAATTATATTAAAATCTATAATATTAAAATACTATTACTCTAGCTATTAAGAAATTAATCTTATTATTTAATAACTCTTCGATTAATTTTAAAATTATTTTAAAAAAGAAGAATATCGTTATTTTATACTATATAAGTAAAATAGTATTAGCTTAAAAGGCTTATTTCGAGTTAATCTTAAAAAGAATAAAGAAACTATCTTTAATAAGATAAACTAATAACTTCGTTAAATTTAAAGAGAATTAAATTACGAATTTTAATTAGATATAGTACTTTAAAATAAGATAATTATTTCTTATAGTAATATTTCTATATATAAGATTATAATCTTATAATAAATAATTATAATTTCTAGATTAATTAATAATATTTATATTATAATTAAGAGTTACGAAGATATTATAAAGATTAAGAGATTTAAATTATTTAAATCTATAATATACTTTATTAATCGAAAGTATTAAATTAATTAATCTTTAAATTAAAATAATTAAAATAGATCGTTTTTATAGATAAATAGCTTTTAGAAAAAGGAATACTTTATTTATAGAAAGATAGATTATTAATTAATTAAATATATTAATAAAAAATATTAGAAGTCTTAAAATAAATTCGATAAACGATTTATCGACTTTATTAACAAGCGATATAGCTTTTATATTTAAGAGTTTAAAGACTAGAAAAATAAGATCGAGAATATTAAGATTTTAATTCTCGATATTTAAAATAATAACTTAAAGAAAGTTGAAAACTTTATTATAATTACTTTTATAATTATATCAAATTAAGCTTAAATATATTATTTAAAGCTTTTTAATTATTTTATATATTATAATATTATTAAGTCTAATAACTTTCTTAATATTAGTTAATATATTTTAAAGTAATTCTATAATATTATACTAGATATTAAAGCTATATATATATTTACTACTAAATATAATTAAATAAAAGTTTATATAAGAGAATTTAATATATAATTAAATATTATTATTAATAATATTATTATCTAATTTAGAATTAAAATAGTAATATTAATTAAGAAACTTATAATAAATTCGCTTATTAGCTAAGTCGACTTCTACGTAATATAGATTAATACTTTATTTTTATTATATATTTAAAATATAAATAAACTAAAGATCTATCTAAATAATCTTAAAAATTAAATTATTTTAAGAAATAATTCTATAATTCTAATTATTTACTTTCATAATTATCTATTTTTAATATAGAATCTTATATTAATTAACTATTTAATCGATATCGAGTTATATTAATTATATCGTTAATTCGATTATTTCTTAATTAATAGACTAATTTAAACTCTAGAAAAAGCTAATTATAATAATTTCGAATACTATTATATACTTAAATAAATTATCGAGTTTTATATACTTTATTAAAATTACTCTTAATTCTTAAGTTATTCTAAATTCTTATTTAAGAACGAGAATAATATCTATTTTAATTATATAATTATTATTAATATTCTCTATATTAACGATAGCCTAATTCTATAAATTATTAATAAAAAAAACTTTATTTTAAATTATTTAATAATAAATAAATATAATTATCTTCTATATATAGAATATACTTAAACTATACTAAATCGATATATATATATTAAATCTTTTAATATTATTATTTATAACGCTAAGATTAATTTTAATAGTATTAAATTTAAATAAAATATTAAAACTTTAAATATTTAAATAAAATACGTATTAATTAAAGTCGCTAATTCTATTAATTTAATAAAACGATATTATATTTTATTAAGACGAGCTTATTTAATAATTACTACGAAATTAAAGAATTAAGATATTAAAAAGAAGATTTATTTTTAAATAATTATTAAGGCTATTAATAATATAGTCGAATATAATAATATTATTTTTGAATTATTAGTTTTTAAAATCTTTTTTTATATTATAAGTAATAATATATTAACTCTATCTATTATTAAGAGAGTAAAAGCTATTAATATAATAATAGCTAAAGTTATAAAACTCTACGCTAAAAGATAAATTAACGATACTTTATATTAGCGAAATAGTTTTTAAACTATAAGAATATATAATATTTTAATTAATTTCTCGATATTAATATAAAGAACGTATTAAAAGAAGTAAATAACTCTTCAATCGATTTTAAGACTATTTCGAGAGAGAAGAATATTATTAAATTATTTAATAATTTTATAAACTTTTAAGTTATTATTATTAAGCTATATTTAGAAGAAATAAATACTCTAATTAAGTCTCTTAAGTCTTTCGAATAAAAATCTTTATAGTTAGATAATATTTAGTATAAAAATAACGATAATTAAAATTATTAAAACTCTTCTTAAAACGCTTTACTACGTTATAACCCTCCTCGACGTTAATATATTTTTACTTATTTTTAAAACTCTATTAATATTATAGTTTATATATTAAAGTTTATATTATAATTATCTTTATTAAACTTCTAGATATTCTAATAAAAAGAACTTAATAAATTATTTAAAAAGAATATATTTAAAATTATAAAGATCGAAGATATTTTTATAAAAGTATAGATATTTAATAATTATTTTATAAATTAAATTAAGAATAAGAGTATTAAGAAAGTCTTCGAGAAGTCGTAATTAGTAATATAAGTATTTAATAACTCGAAGAAGTATAGAATTCTTATTTAGACCTCTATTATTTAACGAATTAATTAATAATTTATTATCGCTTTATTCTTAAGTATTTTATAGCTATCTCTATATCTACGCGATATTACTTAGATATATACGTAATCTTAATTTAAATTAATTAAAGATATCTTTATTTTAATCTTAGTTAAAATAGAATTATTATTAAGAACGATTTTCTATATTATTCTCTTTCTCTATAAAATTACTAAGTTCGATATCTACTAATTTTAGATATATTATAAATACTATATAAAGAAGCTAGAAATAATCTTATCTATATTCGATATTTATCTACTATTTAATAATAATATAATAATAATTATAAGCTTATAAATCGATAACTCTCTTATCGTTAATACTATCGAGTTTATAAATATAAAATTATAAGAATTATACGCCGCTAGACTACTAACTAAGCTATTCGAGAGACTTATTTTAAAATAGCCTCTCGAATTTAATAAATTCGTTATTACTCTTAAAGATAATATAAGAATTAATTAATTTAGATAAGCGAAGAAGATCTAATTATTTATAAAATTATTTATAAAAAAATAGTATATTATCTAGCGAGTATAAGAAGTATATATTACTACTATATTATAGCTATAAGCGATATTTATCTTATTATATATTATCTAGATTATAAAGTCTATATATAAGAATACTTAATATCTAAATCGCTATCTTTTATAATAAATAAAAGAAAGAGGTTTTATATTCGTTAAATTAGATATAATATTTTTAAGAATCGTAATTTTTATAAATTCGTTATTTGTTAATAATAAAGATTTCTCTTTTTAAATCGACTATATAATAGTTCTAGCTAATACTTAGAATAAGGCTAATATTATTTATTAATAATTAATTAAATATTGCTAAGTTACTAAAAGCGTATTAACCTTCAAACTTTATATATTATCTCTAGAATTTAATATTATAATTACTATTAAATCTACTCTAGACTAAATCTTCTCTAATAGTTTCTAGAGAAAAATATCTCTCTCTATAAGGCGGTATAGGCGACAGCGAGGTCCTTCAAGAGTCTAGTAAATACATGGTCGCGAGCACACTACTCAAGCGTTAATGGGCTTTCAGTTTGAAGAGACTTAGTGAAGAAATGTAGAAATGGTGGCTAAATAGGTATCTTGTCATGGAGTGGCTATTTGATATTTGATTTTCGGGCAGAGAAGGAATCGTCGGATGGTGCAATATGATTGGTCCGGGTGCCCCCGAGCCGAACCGAGCCGCGAGCACTGAATGTTGAACCAATATCAGATGGTCTTTTGGTGGTTTTCTCCATGACAGACCAGATAGTTGATATCGATCGAGGCCACCAACGGCGACGGTGAGGCCTGCAAACACCGCACCATAGCTTCGGAAGACCTTTATAAGTAGGCTAACAAGGGGAGCATGCTTGGTAGGGCTTATGTGAAGTGGGTTGAACGATAAGCGTCTGAGCAATCGATTTCTGAGTACTAAAAAGTGAGGCATGGGCGCAACATATGGACTTCGGATGAATCCAATTCGTTCAAAAACACGATGTCCGAGGTTTTACCGGGCCGCCTGTTGATTTGCTGGGGAAATAGGGGCTTTGTTTGGTGCGAGGGTGGCATGCTTACCATGAGTCTCTTCCAACTCACACTTATGATAAGTGTGTGTTGGAAGAGACTCATGAGGTGTGTGTTCCTTTGAACAATGGAAGAGTATCAATCGAGGAGGCCAACGATTAACCTTCCTCACCGTCGACCGATGCCTGACCCTCAGACGTATAGTTCTCATCATCTGACTCTGCAAGAACATTATCCATGTGATCCCTGAACTCCGCTGGCTCCTCATTCCTCTGAGCCTCATGAAAGGCTGTCATAGCCTTTTCAGAAGGCTTCCAAGACCCAGCTCCCTTTGGTGTCTGCGTTAACGTCAGGGTTGGACTGTTGTTACCCACAGCGAGATGCCGTTCGACCTCCTGCTTGAGAAGGACAAAAACGTGACCGTGCACACGTCTTCCCATTCCCTCCTCCTCAAGTACATCCTTTGCCGTCAAAGTTGCCGGGTCAAAACTAAGCGATCGCATCTTCTCATGACACCACTGTAGTGTCACCGCGGGAAGGTACTCATCCAGATCGTATGCTTCCACTTCTTGATGAAGTGTATCAACAAGGTCAGGATTCGGTACGCTGGAGCAGTCCACCGCTGGTTCCTCGGGATATTCGTACATAAACCATGGCAAACCGGAAGTCACATGCGGGCGAGTCTTTTGCTTGCGAATTCGGTGCTCATTCCAATTCTTAACAAACTCAAAGGCCTCCGCTCGAACCAAGGGCATATAGATAGCGTACACAGCAATGGTATCCGCTAGCCGATCCTTTACAAAGTGTGTTTTCCTCCTTCAACCGGTCGAAGAAGAGCACCCATCGATGGAGTGGTGAGGACTGTAGATGCATTCACCAAGATTCAATACGTTGATTAGCGGTACTTTTGCCAAACATCCAGCACTTCTCAATGGCACGATCCTCTTCCGATCGATCTTCTTGTACTTCACACAATTGATGAAATGCATCGGCAATAAGGTTGGTCTCAACACCCCGGTCTGAACGAAACCTTTCCGGCATAATCTTATGCTCTTTCATATACATCAAAAATTGCTTTAGGACGCTGACAGCTGTGCGTCCGGAGCCTCCCACATAGATCCAGATGACTTTGCGGGAGTACGCATCGATCACGGCGTAGATCTGAATGCCAATGATCTCTAGCTTGCAGTGGGCGTCAACTGACCATATAGCATTGGGGCCGGCTACCAAAAACTTCTTCCTTCTGTGCTGTTTCTTCTGGTATCTACCACTGACGCCCTCCGGATCCACGAGTCTTAAGGTGTACATGATATCGTTCCTCGAGATAAACACACCGTTACGACGAAAGTATGCGTAAAGATGCGTGAGGCCCCAGCCACCAATGACACCCTGATCTAGATGCTCTGTGATAATGCGTATAATCTCCTCATCATGAGAGCGAGCATCCTTCAGCGGACGTTTTCTTCTCAAACCCATTGCCACTCTCAATCGCCGGAGCTTATCTGAAGTCACACGTGGATCCTTCGCCTCCAGTACCACTAATATCTCTTTATCATTTACGTTTTGCTGAAGGAACAGAGTCGCAATGAGAGCATCGCGGAGTGTCAACTTATCTTCGGACAGTCCCCCTCCGACAGTCCCCCGTCCATACTAATGTGGCTACCGGCTATACCCGCAGCCACCCGGCTTGGCATAGGCCTTGGCATAGTGGATATCTGACTGGTGGGTGCATTGTCGATATTTCTTTCATTTGATTTCTCGTGTCTATGAAATTTCTCATGTGCACTACGCATAGTTTATCCTAAAGAAACTACCCAAATTCCACTCATTTCTCGCTCTCCGAGTTACTGCTAATATGCTCCCAAATAGGCTTTTAGATATATCTTTTTGATGTCAGTGTGGGTCAGGCTATAAGGTGTCTATCCTGTTGATAGCGGCGAGGATTTTAGTCGAGCTAATATATCCTCTAACTGTGATATATTCTTCGTTCGAGGCTTTATAGTCTTTATTCTCTTCCTCGCTACAATAACCTCCTTTTTAATTTACTTTTCGATTTTAATCTTAGCTTTATAATCTTATTAAGACTCTAATCTAGTTTATTTAAATAACTTCGAGGCTATACCTCAACTAGCTTTAGTAATTATTAATAGAGTAGAATTTAGATTATTTAATATAATAAGTCTTTATTATTAATTATATCGATCGGGCTATAATATAAGAGATAGAGCCCTTATTATAGAAGGTGATAATAAGAGAGAGAGAAAGTTATCGAAATTGTCGATATTAGTAAACTACTTTAAGAATAATTTTAATAATAATAGACTTAAGATATTAATACGGCCTTTAAAAGATAACTAATTAAGATTCTTAATAGACTATATATCTAGAAACTTAATATTACTATCGTCGTCTACGTTAGAAAAAGTATTATCGAAATTGAAAATATCGTTTCTCCGCTAATAAGTTAAAAAAGAAGGCTCTCTGATTTTCTTAAGCTAGATTAGCTATAAAAAAGCGGAGGTAGTTTATTAATCTCTATTCTTTTATATCTAATCCTTTTATATTTACTTCGTAAATTTCTTATTATCCCTCTTCTTATTTATATTCTTTCTTACTTAATAATATAAGATTTAATCCTCTATATTAGTAGCCTTACGCCTAGTTAATATATATCGTCTACTTTTATTCTTCTTATATTATAAACTCTTATTATTCTTCTTAGCTATCGAAAACGATTATAGTAAAATAGCTTTCTTATTATACTTTTACTTATAGACTCTATTTACTCTTTAAATAGCCTTCGTTATCTCTCTTATATACTCTTTAGCGCGATAATCTTCTAAAATCTTCTTATAAAACTTATATATCGAAAAAGTACTCGCCTTTAGTAAGTTTAATCTTCGCCGATTATATCTCGACTATATAAGTATTAAGATAAATTATTAATTATTATCGCCGCTAGAATAATTATTAAATTGGCTTTAAGTGTTATTAGTACTAGTTAGAGCCGTATAGATAATCGATATAATAATTAAATCAAAAGTTATTTTCTAATCTATTATAATTTCTAATATCTTACTAAGTTATCTCGAATATAAAAAGAGAAAGAAAAATAGAAATCTTCTCGATAATATAGCGAAATAGCTAATATTTATAGAATAAACTATATCGTTTAGAGAGATAGTATGCTTATTAATACTTATTCTTCTCGAGTTTTTAAAATACTTTATTCTTAACGTTAAAAATCTATCTTTTCGTCGTAATTAACTTTATATAAACGAGTTTAATTATTTAATAAATAATGTAATTAAGTAGATCTATAAAGAATAGTCTATTAATATCAATACTACGAGGATTATTTCTCTTTTAATACTCTAATTTATACTCGAAAGTATAAATAATCTTATCTACTTCGTTAGTAATCTTTTCTACTAACTATTTAATAGATATATAATAATTTATAATAGTCTTAATTAGAGAATAACTACTCTTACCCCGTTAAGTGAAGTTATAGTCGAGATTTAATTACTCTTTAGTATATATTATAATAAATTAATACTTCTATTATTAATAGAAACTAATTAAATAATTCTATTTCTTCTAATATAATTGATTAAGTAAAATATTACGATTTCGCTCTATATCCTCGAGGGTTTTTAATTAAATTCACTTTTATATTAGATTCATTAATAACTTCCTTATTAAAAGCGGATATCTCTCGCGAGTTAGTCTCTTCTTAATTATTTTAGCTATATATTAATTATATAGCTAAAGAAAATAGTCGCTATCTAATTTATTTAGATAATGACTAAGTATTTAAGTAACCTTTATACTTACTTAAGTAATTATACTCATCTAATCATTTAATAATATAAGTAGATTCGTTCTTTTCTTAATTATTGCTGCTATTAATCCCGCCGCAAAATCGCCTAGTAAAATCGCAGGTCCTCTATAATTGTTATAGAAAAATAAGTCTCTTATATAGTCGTTTATAAATAGAAAGGCCTTAATAGATTTAGACTCGATAAAATAATAGTCGATCGAAATGGTCTTTAAGGTGTTGGTTATATAAATAAGTACTGATAGAGATAGGTTATTCTCATTTATATTGAATATAGTATTCGTGATGATTATAAAATGGCTGGCAAATTTTCTCGCTAAGCAAATTTGATTGGGATTGGTAAAGAAAAAGAACTCTACTTCTTGCGATTCGCGAGTGTTATTGTTTATCATATACTTTTTCTTGATATAAACCTTAAAACCCTTAATTTTAAGTGTGCGTAAGACGTACTGCAGTTCTTTATACGATCCTCTTACGGCCTTTATTACGAAGGTTATAGTACTCTTTAGAGTTAAGTCTTAATCCCTTAATCTTCATTATCCTCCTTACTTCGGCGAATGGAATGGCTGCTATTAGAAGGTCTCGTTCTTTCTCTTTCGAGAGGTCTTTATTAGGATTCCGATAAAAGTGGTTTGGAAGAATAAAAGGATTATTTAGTATATTGTAATTGTGGGTATCCTTTAATACGTTGATTCTCCACTCCGCGTCTCGTTTATAGTATCGAATCTTGATTTTATATGGGTAATAGTTGTAGTTAACATTATTGTGTGGCCGGTACCGAGTATCGTCGATAAGCTTACGGGTATTTCGTATCTTCTTTTTATAACGTTAATAGAGTATTATCTAAATCTCGCGGACTTTATACTCGCTATAACTAGTCACTACAGTAAACTCTTACGTATAAGATTAGTTCTTAAGACGTAGGATTATAGTATCCTTATTAGAAAAGACCTCGCTATTAATAGGGGCACGCTTGTGGGAGTTGACAGGGGTTGCCTAGCCAACAACACTAGTGGGCCTTGGCCATGGTAGATATCTGGCCCTGCACCAGCCATACATAGTAGTCATCCTCTTCTACCCACACGAGCCTGGTCATTCTTGTTCTTTGGAGGTCCTTGCCCGGATTTCTTGTGGCCTTGAAGAACGATCATACTCCTATCATTCATTGTCTTTCAGTTCAGTCACATCATCACATCAGTCACATCATCAGTCATGCCGAATCAGTCACGTCCGACATTCGATTTTTGTCGTACTTATAACGGTTCAGAACCAGCCTCCCATTGGCTGAAGCGTCTTGAGTTTGAGTTGCGAGGAGATTCTTGGAGTGGAATCATTGCCCCGGAGCACTATTTGAGCTCTGTGGATCTACTTCTTATAGGGGACGCAGCCGATTGGGTAGAGTCTTCACCAGAAATCAGTACGCTTTTCGCCGGATCTCATACCAGCGAGTCATTGAATCGATTCCTCTCGCTCTTCAAAGAGCGCTTTCCTACCAAGTCTATCGAGACAATTCCGACTACCTTTTCGGAAGAACTCGAAGGCTTACATCAGAATGCCGAGGAGTCACTCACTTCATACTATTAGCGTACGATATAAATCACATATCGTTTCGAGGCCCGTGATCGTCTTCCCGGAGGCCCACCCCTATCAATCCTCGAGTCGTCAATACTGGACTTGATCTATAGTGCGTTTCTCAAAGGTTTACAAGATCTCGAGCTCCGGCGTGAGGCTATTCGGGGAACTATTACTGGAATATCTCTACACTCGACATTTGTGTCTATGAAACAGGTATACAAATCACGATTGGTTATTAGAAAGATCGAGTATGAGGAGGTTCAGTTACGGGAGGCCATATTCTATAAGAATGTCGTGAAGAGAAATATGTCTACAACTCAGTTGAAATCCATATGAGCTTCTTATTCAGCGGGGAGTCGTGTGCCTAAACAGAGAGTCCCACCACAATTTCTACTACCGTCTCCGGATTCTAAGCAAGCTTCTCAGCCAGCGATCGAATCCAAATCAGTCACCTGGGGTACGAGTGGTTTAGGTCCTCGATCCATTTTGAAGAAGGATCATTACGAGTCTGTTGCTACTGAAGCTACTGGGGCTGGGGCTGTTGTGGGTGCTGGGAGTGTTAGTGCGTCTGGACCGGTCTATGGATATGAAGGATATGGTGTGGATCAGGGTGTTGGCTAGGCATGGGCCACATGGTCGTGGGGCTCTTGTTGTTTGTTTGGTAGTAGTTGACAGGGGTTGCCTAGCCAACAACACTAGTGGGCCTTGGCCATGGTAGATATCTGGCTCTGCACCAGCCATACATAGTAGTCATCCTCTTCTACCCACACGAGCCTGGTCATTCTTGTTCTTTGTGGGTAGCTGGAAAGATGACGAAAATACGCCTCTTCTTATTTATAACCGTCGTAGTATACTCGATAATATTTATAATATGCGAATAGGCGAAATAAAGAAAGATAAATAATACGAATAGTCTTAGAAGTTAGATCTGAATAGAATGCGGGGGTATAGGAGAAAGGTAAGCATTTATCTACTTATAAGGCCTATCGATATTAATCTTCTTACCGATACTAGCGGTCTAGTTATAGTGATTTTTTAGGAAGATAATAGTACATTAACACTCTTATATATATTAGCGAATTTTGGTGTATATGGCTAATATTACGGCTTAGTAATGGTTATATACGATATAGGCTCTTATTCTACTATTATTACACTGCCTCTGACTTATTTATAACGCACCCTAAGCACCACGTTGTCGCTCTGAAGGATTACTTCAAAATTAATGAAGTGGGAGGAATTTATCTGAACTTGAAGTCTCTTATATTCGGATGAACAGGCTGGCGTAACCCCTCATTAAAATTAGGTGGGGCCGAAAGCTTAACGTGTAGATCGTGCGCGGGAGCCACATTAGTGTGGACGGGGGACTGTCGGAGGGGGACTGTCCGAAGATAAGTTGGCGGAGTGTCTCGTCCCTGCACTCTGGTTTATCGTAGCGTTTCTTGGCCCATATCCGCAGGTGTTGCTCGAGCACATTCTTACTGATGTGAAAGCCGCGCTGAGTAGATAGACGTCGTAAGATCTCTTTGTACTCCTTGTTCTGGTCATGAAGGTGGAGGATGAACTCCTTGTGCGACTCCACGTCTTTCTTGGGCCGTCCTGGTGGCATAACTGTAGGAAAGGGAGTACAGGTAGGTGAACCAAGTGCGTACTACTAGGAGGATAGTCGGTAATCGTACAAAGTCAATTGGATGTGTGGTTGTTGATTGCAGTGGAAATGGGAGGAGTATTTACATTTGGTGGGGTAGACTTGATGGCCACTCCGCAGTCGCGGTTATTAGCGTGTGCAGAAAACGTTGGAATACTTGGCACTGAGATTATCACACACACACCACCAAAAGTAGTACTGAATAGATGAATCTTCTCCCATATCGCATTCTACCACCTTTCTTATTATATTTAAAGCTCCTATATATCTCACTTAGCCAATTTCTATTATTTCGAAATACCTCTCGCAACGATTAAGTATAGTGCTACTTAGTTTCATGAGGAAACGCGAAATACTAGGAAATGCGAAATTTTTAAATCCGATAAATCCGACTTAGATGGCTACTACTAGCTACCACTACCACTCATTTAAATGGCTTACTACCATAGTCTATCATAATGGCCAATGCTACGGCATCATAGTCGCTGTCTATAGGCCTGGCATAGTAGGTGTCCCTGCCCTAAACTCAGATGTGGCCTGTTGTTAGCAGCAGCCCCCACGGGGGCCCTGCGACGTCCCTACGGGGCCCTATTTAGGTACACTATTGTTAGCAACTCAGCTAAAAAAGCTTGGTCCCGGGGGTTGTCTGCGCTTGACAGCCAGACACCCCTATTTGGACCTAAATAGGGCCCCATAGGGCCCCCGTAGGGACGTCGCAGGGCCCCGTAGGGGCTGCTGCTAACACCTGGTTTTATCCTGGCGACATATATATCTAAGTAGCATTCGATATTTCGAAGGCTTCACCGCAGGCTTTATCGCAGCAACTACAGTAAGGTGAAAGAGGTGAAAGTAGTGGAAGAGGTGGAAGAGGTAAGACAGTAGAAGAATAGGTAGTAATAGAAGAGATAGTAGAAGAAGAAGAGGTATGATTTTCACGAAGTGGTAGACCGATGAGGCTCAAAAAAAGGGTGAATTGAGTTCTCCGATATAGAAGCCTTGGTAGCAAGAAGGAACCAGATTTTTTCATCCTTATTGTGCGGAGTTGTCATAGAATTTTGGTGAGAAGTAGGCATTTGAGTGTTGGACCGGACTTATCGGATCTAAAAATTTCGCATTTCCTAGTATTTCGCGTTTTCTCATGAAACTAAGTATAAGAGACTATATTTTTAAGGCGGATATAAGAAAGTTAAATAGAAATCTTAATAAGTGCGATATTTAGAGAGATTTTGAAGACTAAACTATATTTACTACTATTACTATTATCCTAGAGTTATTAAGATCTTCGCCTATTATTATTAAAACTTAAATATTTTTAAATCTTTCTTAAAGCCCCTATCAAAAAATTTAAAAACTTTTTTTTTTTTAAAAAAAAATATTTAATAAAAAAAAAAACTTTTTTTTTTTTTTTTAAATTTTTTTTTTTTTTAATTTTTATTTTAAATAAAAAAAAAAAAAAATTATAATTTTAAAAAAAAAAAATAAAAAAAATAAAAAAAAAAAAAAAAAAAAAAATAAAAAAAAAAAAAAAAAAAAAAAAAAAAAATATAAAAAAAAAAAAAAAAAAAAAAAATAGAATACGATATAAGAGAAGATTCATCTATTTAATACTACTTTTAATAATATATATATAATAATCTCAGTATCAAGTATTTTAACGTTTTCTTTATACCCCAAAAAAACTATAATATACGTAGAAAGTAAATATTTCCTATATATTAAAAAAAAAAAAAAAAAGAAAAAAAAAATTAGGATTTGCCTTAAATGGAAGATCGTACTACGCTACGATCTTATTTTCTAATCTTCGATCTAAACGCGAGTATAAACGGGTACTAGTACGTTTTAAAAAGAAAGTAGAAAAAAAAAATAAAAAATTTTTAAATCTTTTTTTTTTTTTTTTTTTTATTAAAAAAAAAATAAAAAAAAAAATAAATTTTAAAAATTTTAAAAAAATTTTTAAAATTTTTAAAAAAAATATAAAAAAATATATATATATAATTTCTACGTTCGGAGAGGCGCTAATTTTTCTAAGTTAAATCGAATTTTAGTTTTTTTTTAAGTTAAATCGAACTCTAATCGCTTACTATACGTTTTTAATCTTACTTTTATTACTATAAAATTAATTTAATCTATATAATATATAGATATATATATATAAAGAGAGGCGCGCTAAGATTTAATTAGAAAGATATATTAAGTATAAAGAATTAATTTATAATAATTATCTATAAAAAATAGAGAAAAACTATATTCTTATAATAAGAAGTATTAAAATATCGAAAAGAAATAAAGATAACGTATTAATTAGTGATATAAATTCTATAATATCTTCTATTATAGTAAAATCTTTCGAATAATAAGATAGCTATAGATATCGAACGATTTTAATTTATCTAAATATATATTATTTAATATTTCTTCTATAGAGATCTAATTAACTATAATCGTCGTAATAGATTCTTCTCTTATAACGTTATTATAGTAATATATTATATTAATATAATAGAGATAATAGATTAAGTTATAGTAGAGATAATAAATTAAATTATAATAATATTCTTCGCTTACTAAGTAATAATTTAACGTGAAATCTTAGAGAGCTAAGTCGTATTCTTAATAATAATAGTCTTATTACCGCTTAATTTCTTCGTAGTATTCTCTATAGTATTCTTCGTAGTATTCTCCATATTCGCCTATTATAATTCCTTCTCTTACTTTTTCTTTTATAGAGTATTAAATTAAGTAATTAGTTAAATAATTAATTAAGTAAATAACTAAGTAATTAACTAATAACGCTTACTAAGTAATAATTTAATATAAAATCGTAGAGAGTATATAATATAGAATTTTAGAGAGTTAAGTCGTATTCTTAATAATAATAATCTTATTATCGCTTAGTTTCTCTATAATATTCTTTATAATATTCTTCGTATTTATCTATTATAATTTCTTCTTTTACTTCTTCTTTTATAGAGTATTAAATTAAGTAACTAGCTAAGTAATTAACTAAGTAAATAATTAAGTAACTAACTAATAATCTAATTAAGTAGATTACTAAGCTAATAAAATAGATAGTATTAATTAAATAGTTAGTCGAGTATCGCTAACTTAAGTAGAATATATAGAGAAAAACGATAGCTATAAATTCGTTTAGACTCTTTTTAAAAGTCTTTTAACGCGTTTATAAATAGTAGTAAATAGCTATTAAGCTCGCTTACGACCTCGATTACTATTAATAAGAGATTTAAAAGACGAGTGAAAGGGATATATATCTTAGATACTTAGTAATATTTAAGTAAGAGATATCGAAGGCGAATTTATTTATAATTAATAGATTAATAGAATTATAGAAGAAATATAATTATATAAATAGATAAAAGAATTATTAATCGATCTCGAACGCGTTTAATATAACTACGATATTTAAATATTAATTTAATTTACTAATAGTAAATTAAACTTTATTATTTTTATAGCGTTAGAAAGCGTATATTAAGCTCTATAATTTACGAAATTATAAAGAAATAGTATTTATAGAGAGCTAGTTATTTTAGAGTATAAAACTTCTATATATAAATTTTTAATAAGAAAGCTTAAGAGGGCTAGCGGGCTAACTTAGTTAGTCTAGTTAAAAGACGTAATAACCTCAAATTAATAATTAGCTATATATATAAATTTAAGATTTTTTAATTTAATTCTATCTTATTCTTTTATATATACTAATATTTATTATTCTATAGATTATAAGATTATTATATTTAATTATAAAATTAAAAAGGCTTTTCGCTATAGCCCGTATTAAGTCTTTAAATATAAAAAGATTAATTAATATAATTAGTATATTCTTAGCTTATTAAGAGATATAATAAATTATTTTTAAGTAAATTATAAAAGATATTATATTTAATCTTTAATTATAGAGATAATAACTTTTAATAATAATATTCTATTATTATTAGAGAGCGATAATAAATAAAGATATCTCTCGTAAAGGCTAATATCTATAAGATTTTTAGACTTCTCGAGATATCGCGTTAAAGTATTTTTAATTAATATTATATCGAAGAGTAGAAAATAAATATAAAAAGAAAAGAAAATAATCTTAATAATATTAATAAAATAGCTTAAAAATAGAGTAATTAAATATTATTTATCTAAGAGTATTAAAATATATAGATTAAACTTTAATCTATAACTTCTTAGAAGTATATTATTATCTTTATATTCTTTAATATATAAATTATAGATTATTTTAATATAGAAAATCTTAATATAATATCGTATATTTATATTAAATCTTAATCTTATTAAAAACTTTTAGTATTTATATTCTTATTATAAACTTTATTATTTTTATTATTAGATTTAATTTAGATAGAATCTCTTTAATATTAATTAACTAGCTATTTTAAGTAGCTAGTCTATCTTTCTTAAATAATAAATATATTCTAAAAGTATAATCTCGAGTCTAGTTATCTTTCTTATAGACGTATTTAAGTATATTAATTACTTAATATATATAAAGAAGATTCTTAAGAGTTATATTAAGAAATTATTATAATTTAACTCTATATATATGTAATATAAAGATATTTTATCTATGTGATCTATAGATAGTATATACGAAATTAAGCCTACGCTAGTAGCTCTATAAGTATTTCTAAGATATCTTATAATAATTATCTATAAAAATGAGAAATACTATATTCTTATAGCAGAGTTATATATATAATTTTTGAAAATTGAAAGGGGTGGGCCGTGCTATTAGTGGTGTGTATTCCCGAAATCTCTTATTGAAATGAAATTTTTAAATAGTATCGAAGCAGTATCGACGTTTCATTCTTCAAATATATATCGTTCGTCTTTTTCTCATGTTATTAACTATAATCGTCGTGTAGATTCTTCTTTATCGTTAACTTAATAATATATTATATTAATACGATATCGTCGAGATACGTAGAGAT